CAGCGTTATTAGCGTAATTGGATTACATAATAAAAGTCATGTGTTGTGGAGCAAGGAGTGCAGTTTTATAAGCTCAAACTCATTAATTATATTCCTTCAGCTTAGTCACTTTATTCATCAGAGGTCGCCACAGCGGAATGAACCACTAACTTATCCAGCATATGTTCTACCAGCCTGATCTCACGAGAAAACGTTAAGTATTTTACGTTTTGCCAGTTTAGTGGCTAATTCGTACGAGTTCAGTCGTACAAAATTGTACGATTTTAAAAAGGAGGCGTGGCACGTAACCCCACCCCTAAACCCCACCGTCATCGGAGGATGAGCAAATCGTACTAAATTGTATGAATTAGATTGTACGAATTCATACGAATTAGCCACTAAATCAAAAAGTTACGAATTGCCGTGAGATTGTGTTGGTTCTACACAGCCTTCCAGCTGCCTTTCCAACTCCACACAGAAACGTCAACGGACTCCAGCCAGAACTCGAACCAGTGAGTTTGTGAAGCAGTTTGCGAATGTTCGTTGGAGCGATGGATTTGGCAAACAGCAAATCAACAAACTATGTTGGTAACGACGGAACTTGCGACCTTAGTCGGCTTAACGAGGTTTTGAGAAGCGCACCTCAGAGCAGAAGATTTCTCCGTCACAGGTTTGAAGAAGCTGGCTCGTCATCATTCAGACGATCAAAGAAGACAGCGCTGCCTGCCTACATTAAGAGCACTTTAGTTTGTTTTTAACATGGAAAACCCAGAAATTCCACCTCCAACTCCTTCACTTTCTACTGTTCGATGAGGAAGAAGACCACCCGTGGCCCTATTTAGAGTCCATGTTTGCATTTGTCGGAGTGAAAGACAATGAAGTCCATACTCTGCCTCACGAAAAATTGTGAAATAATGGCCTTCAGAAATTTACCGTCGAATTTGAAGAAACATATCAAGTGAAAAATAATATAATACACAACACACGGCAGTTTGAGCAATCTGTAAGGGCTAGATAAGTTAACTAACGTTAGCTACCCACGGTTCATAACATGCTGCGATGTTCACTTAACGTTAACTTGTTAGCTATTATAAAGGCTGTGTCACGCTGATAGGTGTTTTTGAGCCATCATATATATGAGCAATATCACACGAGTAGCAGTGCGATATGGCTGTATATCGGCACTGGTGGGAGGCGTGCGATGGCACGAGGCATTTATACAACAGTTTAGCGGCATAATTGTGTATATAAAAACAAAATCAAGCATGGAGAGTCTTAAAAACCCTTTTGTATGAGGAACTACTTTCTTCCACATTGGATTCAAATCATAAGCTGACAGTTAAAGAGCTGTTAAAACAGTTAAAAGCATCTTTTAAACTTTAGATCTGTTGTGTCTGCTTTTTGCTGGCTGTATGTGGGCGGATTAATACACAAAGGGTAAAGAGGCTGCAGGAGTTCTGATATTGCAGAATATCGCACGGCTATCAGCCAATCAGATTTGAGAACCAGACAGAACTGTTGTATAAATATATATATATATATATATAAATACTATTAATCGTAAACCACGTTTCTTTTCGTTCTGCTTAATCACGTTTAATTTTACTTTCAGTACTTGAGTTGTAAATTTTTTTGAATAAACTACTTGCAGGACTTACGTACAAAAAATGTCAACCCAAGCTCATTCTGAAAACGTAGCCCCACTGATGTTTCTGGAGACCGCGATTTACGAATTTTATTTTTTCAAGTGAACGCTATGGGCCGGTGTGACGCCGCTCCTTTTCGTGCTCGCTGGCTGACGGCTCACCTCCGTCTGGAGGGCTTTCCAGCCACAACCAGTTTGTTCAGTTAGCTCGTCGTGTTACGTCGGCGGAACGGAGGCCTGGAGGGTAGCCGGCCGCGACAACCGGGTTCGAAGAGCATTTCCAGAAATCAGGTAAGACAAAAAAAAGAATCCAAAAAATAAAGTGAACAAGTTCATAACGGGGCGGGAATGCGGTGAAATCTGAACACGCGGTCAAATTCGGACGAGGGCTTTTCTTTTTCTGGACGGCTTTTGTAAATCGTTGCTTGGGTTTAGGAAAGGAGGAGGAGGAGGGTTGGCCGATTGGCCAGCTGCCCAGTCAATCGTTCAGTCATTCAGTCAGTCAGTCGGACTGACGGTCGCTTGACAGCGGCCTCCGACGGCTTTACAAGAAAACAGCGCGGGCGCGAACGGATTTGTGAAAACAAAAACTGCACAAATACAAACCTCCCGGGAATGAGCCTGGGTTGAAAAATGTTGAATACTTTAGTACATTCACTTAAGTATGGTGCTTAAAGAGCACATCAACTTCTACTCTAGTCACTTTTTTAACAGAGCACTTGTACTTTCACTTAAGTCTGAGTCCCTAGTACTTTGTACATCTCTGTTTATTTCACACTATTGATTGCAGAGACATCCCCACAGTGTTGTGTACTTTATTAATCTTGAGAAGTCTTTGTTTTTCTCAATATTTCTAAAGGAATATGAAATTAATTTGTAGTTTTTTTCACTTTTACATAATTAATTTTTATTTTGGTCGATTTTAGCCTATTAAAAGAGTAACAATTAAACATCATAATCAGCAATCAGCAGATAATCAGCAATCAGATACTTTCCTTTCTGTCTTTAAGCATTTTTATAAAGGAATACAAGGGTGTTTTGATTGTCTGATGTAAATCTGGAGCAGAACACTGTCTAACTGTTTCCCAAAGATCTGAAAAGCCTTTTAGTTGCGACACTAGTAGCAGGAATACAAAGCATCCTCCGTGACAGTTTTGCCAACCTTCAAAACTCCTCCTCATTAGCTTTCCACAAGTGCAACCCGAAACACTTCTGCCTTAAGAAATAACCAGGAGAGAGAAAAATACGGTCAACAGCATTATAAATACGCCTTAATACAACTTAAATGATGCCAGTTATTTAAAACTTAAACAGTTTGTGAATCATTTTTTCTGCTACAGATTGTTGATGATTGCTTTATATTTGCATTGATTCATTTAACGAATGCTTTTGTCCAAAGATGCATAAAATAAATAAACGAAGATTAAAAACACTACAGATCATCAGAGGAAAGCAGAATATTGATTTAGCTTTTTTTTTAGGTGGAAAGATCACTGATGAACTACAAATCAGTGACAAACTACAAATCCCTGCATGCAGCTATACACACACCGGTGTCCAATCTCCACTAATCACACACACACGTAGCTGAAACCTGTCATCAAGGATTGTTTGGACTATATATACACCCTGCACACGTTAGTTAGTCTTAAATTTGTGCCATGCGTTGTCTACCATAGCCTTGCCTTGGTTTATTTCTGTTTGTTCATTTGTATTCTGATGGCTGACTTGTGTTTCACCTTGTGCTTGTAAAAGCATAAAAGGGGCATTGCCGCCTGAGAATGCCCCCACCCCCCCACCCCAACTATTTGTAAAGGATTGTTCACTCAAACTGAAAATTCTTTCTGTCATTAATTACTAACACTCCCGTCATTTCATCCTTCAGAACACACATTTAGATATAGCAATGAAATTATGAAAATTAATAACCAAAACCAAAGCAAATACTAATAGCTAGTTCTTAAAAAAAAAAAAAAATTAAATTAAATTAAATTAAATTAAATTAAATTAAATTAAATAAAACAAAACTAAATTAAATTAAATTAAATTAAATTAAATTAAATTAAATTAAATTAAATTAAATTAAATTAAATTAAATTAAATTAGGACGAGGCAGTGGCGCAGTAGGTAGTGCTGTCGTCTCACAGCAAGAAGGTTGCTAAGGAATGCAATAGTGCAGAGATCTGGTCCCCGCGTCAGGTCAGGCTTTAAAGTGCGCACGCGATGGCGGATAAACTCACACAGGAGAAAACTGGACTAGTGGATAAGATGAAGGCGAGCAGCCTAATTCATTACTTGTTTTGGTTAACTAATTCTTAAAAAACAACTCTCTTGAGCTCTAAAAGGGAAAAAAAACGCAGTAGAAATTTACCGTTAAATTAAATTTAGCAGAGACGCAACTGCCATTCATTTTTCGGTTTGGGGACGTGTAGCCTAATAAAAATGTTTAGTTGGATACTGCACATTCCCACAGTAGTCTACACCAGTGGTCCGCAATCGGTGGGGCGGTTATATATATATATATATATATATATATATATATATATATATATATATATATATATATATATATATACAACAGTTCTGTCTGGTTCTCAAATCTGATTGGCTGATAGCCGTGCGATATTCTGCAATATCAGAACTCCTGCAGCCTCTTTACCCTTTGTGTATTACTCCGCCCACATACAGACAGCAAAAAGCAGACATAACAGAT